CTTGTCAGAATAGGCTTCTCCATTAAAGGCCATATGTTATACAGTGTATTGATCAATGGCAAGGTATTATCGCATGCTGCACAAGACATGTTGTCAACATAGTCTGGACACTGATTGGTCTGATCACTTTCTGGTTTCCCTCTTGCTGGAATCAGGCCATGACTTGATTTGTTGGTTATGAATAGCAACTACACAGTACAGCCACCATTTTGTTTTCCTCTTAGCTGTTGTCAGTATAAGGCTACTTCATTTTTTGACAAACTTTAGTTTGGGTAGGTCTGACTGAGTGAATGAGTGAGTGAGTGAGTGAGTGAGTTGTGGTGAAACACCAAGAAATAAAATGAGGGTGAATCTGAAATTCAAACACAATATCATAGGTTTCTGGCAGGCCCTAGGGTATGCGCCTCTGCACAGCAAATTGTGGTCCCTTAGATGACTGGGACATCCATGCTAAAAAACATGAAAAAATAAATGCCTTTGGTATTTTAACAGTGTTAGTTGATTCTGTGAGGAAAACTATGTGCCAGACAGGGTTAAGAAGTATGTTAGAAATTCAGCCAGCTAAGGGTTAAAGTGTAGGATTTTTTACAAGAATATATATGTATTTACTTCTATCACAGGGGCGGTGGGGTAGTCTTTGTGGTTAAAGTGTTCACTCGTCATGCCGAAGATCCAGGTTTATGTTATATATGTTATGGAATGCATTGATCAATTATTATTAAAGTAATTATACATTTTATGGAAGAAAATGATACCTGTTTGATTTGTGTCTTTTGTACTAATCCATCTAACCTAATGAAAGAAAGCAATTCTGATTGTGGATTTTGACTTTGTACAGTCAAATATTGTCAACCAATAAATAAAAAAATATTACCTAGCACTGTTTCTGGAATTACTGCAATTGACGTAATAAGCGCCCAGGGCACTCTCAAAGTTAGAAATAGGGGGCTCTTATTAGAACAAATTTTGGTGAGATGAAAAACAGTTGAAAGATCGTAAATTTCGTGGTTTGTGCTGACAGCCTGAAATTATACAAAAGAAAAGTCTGTGCGTATTATACACGACAGATATATTTTCCAGAATTTAATTGCCCATAATTAAGGGTGCATATAACAAACGAGAGCGTATTTTACACAAATAAATAAGTCTTGTGTTCATTAATCAATGAGAAGGGGTGCCAATTGGTATTGTTCACTAGCCAATATATTAGCAAATATCGCCATGGGCACTTATTAGAGCGGGGCGCTTATTACGTTGAACGTTGAACAAAAATTCACTGTAGCCTCATTTCTATTTCATAGTCACAGTTATGTAAAGGATATGAGACTGGCCCAAGGATTAAAGTTGTTGATGAGTGACTGGCCCCATGTTGAGGAAACAATGTTGGGCTATATTTAACGGTTACGCTGTCAACATGACATCTCAGTTTGTAACGTTCTGTTTCCTCAAGTCACATCAGGGTCGACAAAGTAGTGCAACTTTTTCTTTTGAGAAGCCGGCCCCATGTCAGATCTAGAGATGTATGAAGCCTCTATATATTTGTGATGATTGGAGCTTAGGCTGGGACGGGCACCTCGGATACTCGGGTCAGTTGGGTCTTGTAGAACCCGGGTCAGCATTAGAAACTAACACTTTTAGTCCACTAGTCCTTATAATGATAACATATAGCAAAACCATTAATAATGGCAAATTTCTACTAGTCCTTATGATACCTCAACTACTGGGCAGTTTGGCAAGGACTATAGGACCAATGCCAATTTCTAACAGTGCGGGTACCCACAGAACTACCTTGCCCTGTGGTTAGTCACATGATATATATTGGTTAATGACAATAACAATAAAACTCCATAGTTACACTACAAGTCGCTAATGTTGGCATTAATTTTTGACTGTTATATGTTTGAGTAAAGATAAGGCTTCAGTTACAGTAAACTACGGGGACTACTATTTTAGTTCGTTATAACCGTAGTTCGTTATAAGCACATATACAGCATAATTGTCGGGACCAAAAATGTAAGTTTGTTATATCCGTCATTTCGTTATAAGCGTGTTCGTTATAACTGTAGTTTACTGTAACTTCAGTGTATCAGAACGTTTTATACACACATCTGAAGAGATTTGGACAGGGCTCCAGTAAAACAATTTAAATTGGACATTTTCTACTCAACCCTTAAGACTTTCAACAGATAGCCATGTTGGGACAGGTACCTGGGTAGTAAATTTGGACTCATTCAGTATGCCAACTGTTGTAAATGTAGCTGTAGGCATTGTTCAGATAAACTTGATAAAGTGTATGTGGTTTTAGATTTACAGCATTTAATGAACATTCAATGCTAGGAAATTATTTTTGGAACCAATGGCATTATCAGTCATTTTCTCTCTCTCTCTCTCTCTCTCTCGCTCATTATCAGTCATTTTCTCTCTCTCTCTCTCTCTCTCGCTCTCTCTCTCTCTCTCTCTCTCTCTCTCTCTCTCTCTCTCTCTCTCTCTCTCTCTCTCTCCCTCCCTCCCTCTCTCTCTCTTTTTCAAGATCTGTACGCCAGCAACAGATTTTTTATGCCCGTTTCCCAAGGTTCATGGAAAGTATGTTCGAAACATAAAAATGTTGATAAATGTTGTTTTAGGTTTCTTTTTTCAATTTATTAATTTGATAAAACATGCTCCTCAGTTTTATCCTGCAGATGCAAGTTTTAAATATCATAAAAACCCTTGGACATGTGTTTTCCTACACGTACAAAATACATTTACATCATATATATTTTTATCTAAGAGTTACCTAATTGATACAATGTCATGATACAATGTCATAATACAATGTCATGATACAATGGATGATATCACATGCTTCCGTGATCACTGAAATCATCGGTTCGCAGAATGTTGGGAATAACAACCTAAATCAAAGTTATGATAAATATTGATCAACTTTAAAATTAAAAAGCATCCATTTTGCCAAGCCAAATGACACGTTTCTCAAGTTTGTATGTGTCTATGTGTTTACTGGTTGGAGTGAGTGAGTAAGTTGGGTTTTACACCGCTTTGGGCAGTATTCCAGTCATGTCACAGCGTGTCAGATTACTTTGGGAAGAAAGTTCGAAGTGATGCAGGTATTAGATGTTTACCACTCTGGTGAAACCCACGAGCATGGGTATGGTGCTGACAAACCTAGAAACATAATCGGGGTGAACCGGGATTCAAACCCATAATCATAGATTTCTGAAGTGCTCAAGGGACGCAACTCTGCTCAGCAAATTATGGCGCCTTAGACGACTCGGACACCCATACTTCCTTACTGACAGGAACTTTGCTCCCCAGAACTCTATTCCCCCATGAAGTTCCGGGCTAGAACTGAAATTCAGCCCATGCTTGTAAGAGGTGACTGATGTGATTTTGATTGGTTGATGTCAGGTTCGGTGACTTGACTGATTGATTACATGTAATTATATCACAATTGCCCCTGAGAAGATCCAGGTTGGAGTTAGTCTGTGTGAGTGAGTGAGTGAGTTGGGTTTAACACTGCTTTTAACAGTATTCCAGTTATATCGCGGCGTGTCAGCTTAATGTGGGAGGAAAGCCCGAAGTGATGCAGGTCTCAGACATTTACCACTTCGGTGAAACCCACGAGCACGGGTATGGTGCTGACAAACCTAGAATAAACATAATCGGGGCGAAATGGGAATCGAACCCACAATCATAGGTTTCTGGCGTGCCCAAGGGACGCAACTCTGCACAGCGAATCACGGCGCCTTAGACGACTGGGCCACCTGTGCCCCCTAAATTACTCTATAGTAACCTTTATCATAAAAGGCGACTAACAAGATCGGGTGGTCAGACTCGCTGACTTGGTTGATGCATGTCATTGTATCCTAATTGCATTGATTGATGCTCATGATGTCAGTCACTGGATTGTCTGGCCCAGATTCAATTATTTACAGTCTGCTGTTGCATAGCTGGAATATTGCTGAAAACAACAAACAAACAAAACAAAAGTTGTAAGAGGCAGTTAAATTCAATCAGCTGGTCCGGTTCAGTGACCTGGTTGATTGCAAGTGATTGTACCCTGATGCTCATAATATCTACCCCTGGTTTGTCTGGCCACAGCTTGTTGTCACCACATTGCTGCAATATTGCTGGCAGCAGCGTTGTACAACAAAGAAAGTATTGATGCAGGAAATGCTACAGAGCTCCAGATAACTTTTTGAGCAATTGAGTTTTTACTCTAGGGTTTCTATTTTAATTGGGTTATTACATTTTTCATTGGGTAACCAATATTCTTTCACTCATCTATTCATCCCATTTTTCCCCAAATTAGTGAACATTTTAGGATTTAAAAAAGATGAAATGATGTATATAACCGTTCTAAATATATAGGCTAGACTCTGAAAGTAAATTAGCTTCTAATTGTGTTACGGAAATTAGCGCCTTTGTACGCATGCTGAAAAAGCTTCATTGGGTATTTATGCGTGCTGTTTTTATACATTTGAGCTTTTCATTTCATGCATGCGTTTCTGTACGCAAGTTAATTGAAAGTAATTGGGTTTTGAATATTTTGGAGGGGTATTTTACGCATTTTTATGTATTTTATATGCTGTGTGTCTGTAGTTCTGATTACATACAGGCATAAGACATAACCCTGGAGTTGAAGCTAGGGAGAGAGCATGGGATGCTCAGGAAATCCCTTTCGCCAGGCAGAGTTGCATCCCTTAGGTGTGCCAGGATCCATTGATTTTGGGTCTTAATCCCAGATTCACCCTGATGATAGTCCCGTGTTTGTCAGCATGCATGCTTGACGGTTTCACCAAAGTTAGACCTGCATCACTTCGGGCTTTCCTCACTCATCAAGCTAACACACTGTGATATGACTGGAATACTGTTCAAAGCAGCGTATTGTTGTAATATTCTTAATCTTTCTTTCTTATTCTTGAATGAAGAGATACAATACATCCAAGCCACTTTAATGCTTGAACAACATCCGTATGATAAATCTTTTTTTTTTGCAGGATCAAGCATTTGAAGAAGTTAAACCCAGAGCTTTGTCGACAGTTGGGAGTGTGAAGGTGAGAAATTATACCCAGAGCTTTGTCAACAGTTGGGTGTGTGAAGGTGAGAAGTTATACCCAGAGCTTTGTCAACAGTTGGGGGTGTGAAGGTGAGAAGTTATACCCAGGGCTTTGTCAACAGTTGGGAGTGTGAATGGGAGAAGTTATGCCCAGAGCTTTGTCAACAGTTGGGAGTGTGAAGGTGAGAAATTATACCCAGAGCTTTGTCAACAGTTGGGTGTGTGAAGGTGAGAAGTGATACCCAGGGTTTTGTCAACAATTGGGGATGTGAAGGTGAGAAGTTATACCCAGAGCTTTGTCAACAATTGGGGATGTGAAGGTGAGAAGTTATGCCCAGAGCTTTGTCAACAGTTGGGGATGTGAAGGTGAGAAGTTATACCCAGAGCTTTGTCAACAGTTGGGGGTGTGAAGGTGAGAAGTTATCCCCAGAGCTTTGTCAACAGTTGGGGGTGTGAAGGGTGAGAAGTTATACCCAGAGCTTTGTCAACAGTTGGGGATGTGAAGGTGAGAAGTTATACCCAGAGCTTTGTCAACAGTTGGGGGTGTGAAGGTGAGAAGTTATACCCAGGGCTTTGTCAACAGTTGGGATCATGAAGGTGAGAAGTTATACCCAGAGCTTTGTCAACAGTTGGGGGTGTGAAGGTGAGAAGTTATACCCAGAGCTTTGTCAACAGTTGGGGGTGTGAGGGTGAGAAGTTATCCCCAGAGCTTTGTCAACAGTTGGGGGTGTGAAGGTGAGAAGTTATACCCAGAGCTTTGTCAACAGTTGGGGGTGTGAAGGTGAGAAGTTATACCCAGGGCTTTGTCAACAATTGGGATGTGAAGGTGAGAAGTTATACCCAGAGCTTTGTCAACAGGTGGGATCGTGAAGGTGAGAAGTTAAACGCAGGGCTTTGTCAACAGTTGGGGATGTGAAGGTGAGAAGTTGTAGCCAGAGCTTTGTCAACAGTTGGGTGTGTGAAGGTGAGAAGTTATCCCCAGAGCTTTGTCAACAGTTGGGGGTGTGAAGGTGAGAAGTTATACCCAGAGCTTTGTCAACAGTTGGGGGTGTGAAGGTGAGAAGTTGTAGCCAGGGCTTTGTCAACAGTTGGGGATGTGAAGGTGAGAAGTTATCCCCAGAGCTTTGTCAACTGTTGGGAGTGTGAAGGTGAGAAGTTATACCCAGGGCTTTGTCAACAGTTGGGGATGTGAAGGTGAGAAGTTATACCCAGGGCTTTGTCAACAGCCTGAAATGTTTATATACGAGAGATATATTTTTCAAGGATTTAATTGCCCATAATTAAGGGTGCATATAACATATATAAATAAGTCTTGTGTACATTGATCAATTGGAAGAGGTGCTAATTGGGATTGTTCACTTGCCAATATATTAGCAAATATCACCAAGGATGCTTAGAGCGGGGCGCTTATTACGTCTAATACGGTATGTTATGTATGGCATTCGTGACTGGGTTCCTTTTGCTACAGGATGCCTACAAGCCCCAGCGGCAGTATCGACGCAGCGACACCGCCAAGCTTAGGGACGAGGAGACGAGGGTCCACTCGACGCTGTTGGAGTATGGGAGGTAAGGATAGAATTATTTTTTGTTTAACACCGAACTATTCAAGCTATATGACAGTGGTCTGTAAATAATCACGTTCTCACTTCTGTCATCTCAATCTGTTTAATATCATTCTAGTTACTGTAAGTTGGGATTTAATCCTATAGCATTATTCCACTGGGGTAGTTGCCATATTTAACAGGTCATTTTGGAAAAGCAGTTTATTATTGTCATAATTGAGATTGGGGCATCAGGGACCTTAAACAGTTACCTTAGCGTATTGCCATTCCGTGTCGTCATGGTCAATGTAAGTCATTACTCTACAACTCACTGGGTCCGGAGAGGCTCACTAAGTAAATGAGTGAGGGGTCTGACAACCATTTCTCCTAACTGTTCCCATAAGCATTCATGTACTGGCAACCCGTGAAGATCTGGGGTAGAAGAGATCTCCAGCAACCCATGCTTGCCGTAAAAGGCGGCTATGCTTGTCGTAACAGGCGACTAACAGGATCGGGTGGTCAAGCTCGCTGACTTCGTTAATGCATGGCATCGATCCGAATTGCGAACATGCTCATGTTGTCAATCACTAGATTATCTGGTCCAGACTCGATTATTTACAATACACAATGACATGCATCAACCAAGTCAGCGAGCCTGACCACCCGATCCCATTAGTCGCCTCTTACGACAAGCATAGTCGCCTTTTACGGCAAAAATGGGTTGCTGGAGACCTATTCTCTTCCCTTACTTTCCTGGTAAAACATTTGAACTTCGGCATGTATGTTTCTCCTTATCATGTCTTTTATATTTTGTTTAAATCATTTGAGTTTAATGACGAAACTATTTGAATAACAGCACTGACAGCAACTATTGAAAGTGTTTGTATATTTTGTCATAATGCTGACATATTAAACTGCTGACTACATACCAAGGTGAGCTACAGTGTCGTGAAACTATTTTCTTCTACCCATCAAAGCCCTATCTGAGGTAGAAGTTGAAAGATAAATAGTAGGTTAGAAAATAACACAATTATTCAATTGAAATCATGATAAAAATTTGTATGGATTTTATGAAAATCAAACATTTTGAATAAGCATTGTACTCCAAAAATTACGCTAAGGAATGGTTTATTTTGTAGTTCACTCCAGGAGAGAAAATCCCACCCTTTGCAGGCCTATGTTTACATCATACAGTTCTTTGTTTGACCCAGTTATATATATAACGATTACACTGTAGTGTTGTAACTTTTTAGAAAAAAATATTCAACAGCTGGTTGACATTTTTGGATCCTGTGAACAGGTCACCATGACCTTAGGGATCTAACAGTTATTGGACCAGTTATTGAGGTGAGGTGAAATGGGGTTTAATGTCGCGTCTAAGATTATTGCACTTATATAGCGACGTGCATGTATGTGTGTGTGTGTTTGTGTGGCTGCTTGTACTAGTCCGGACTGATGCCGATTTATAGTGCTAGCACACTGAGATACCATGCCGCAGTTTAACATGAATACCCCACTCAGACACAGTATACTGACTCCGAGCCGACCAGTCCTTGCTTTAGCCCCTTAATGCCGAGTAGCCTTGTGGTTAAAGCGTTCGCTCGTCACGCCGAAGACCCGGGTTCGATTCCCGACATGGGTACAATGTGTGAAGCCCATTTCTGGCGTAAAACCATACTCACTCACTCACTCACTTAATGCCGAGCACCAGACAGGGTAACAATAAGTACCATCTTTTAACGTCTTTTGGTATGACGCGGTCGGGGATCGAACCCCGGACCTTCCGCTCTCCGTGCGGACGCTCTACCACAAGACCACGGAGGCGGTCTAATTTGACAAGCTTGGGAGAAGCATATTTCATGGGTCACATAGAGACATGATACATTTTTTTCTGGAAGGAACCAAACACATGTTCTTTTTCACAACACATACTCTTCTTATCATGTCTGCGCTTGAGAAAAAAAAGGTCATTCCCTTATGTACACTTCATAAATTAAATCAAATCAAATCAAATCAAATCAGTTCAGTTCAGTTCAGTTCAGTTCAGTTCAGTTCAGTTCAGTTCAGTTCAGTTCAGTTCAGTTCAGTTCAGTTCAGTTCAAATCAAATCAAATCAAATCAAATCATAGCCCACTGTCCACTTTGTAATTGCATAAATGTGCTTTGACCCTGATCTATATTACTATACCGGTCAAGGGATCAGTGTGCACATGATTTCATTCTCAGCTCCTAGGGGAGTATACAACCCAAGCAGCCTGTCAGGTACTAGAAGGTTAACAGTGATATTAGCTTCTTACCCTACCACTAAATAAAGGTGAAAAAAACACCCAAAAATATTTAAGGAAGAAAATAGGAACTGAATAAACAGAATAAATCAACAACCAAATAAATAAAATTAAAAATATAACAAACAAAAATCTTATCCTATCACTGTGTAGGCTTCAGGTGTTCTTGGATGTACAGTGTACAGTGCCTGGCCAAGAAACACTGAACCCTGACAAATGTAACTGTGATCATGTAAATATTTTGAAAATGTGTGCAATCTCATTAAAATCAGACCTCAGTTCTCGATATCGCTAAACAAAGATCTGAGGACATCCCATTAGGGGTCACGTCAGAACGACCTTTCATCCGACCAATCAGAGCATCACTTACCAGCCTGTGAAAGTGACAGTCGGAATGTGATGTCTAATAATGCTATCTCGATAACTTTAACTCTGAACGATAGGTATGGGTTTAACGACTGAATCCATACAATCTAGGACCGCCTCCGTGGTCTTGTGGTAGAGCGTCCGCCCGGAGAGCGGAAGGTCCATGGTTCGATCCCGGGCCGCGTCATACAAAAAGACGTTAAAAGATTGTACTTGTTGTTACCCTGTCTGGCGCTCGGCATTAAGGGGCTAAAACAAGGACTGGTCGGCTCGGAGTCAGTATACTGTGTCTGAGTGGGGTATTCATGTTAAACTGCGGCATGGTATCTCAGTGAGCTAGCACTATAAATCGGCATCAGTCCGGACTAGTACAAGCAGCCACACACACACATACACGTGCATGCACGTCGCTATATAAGTGCAATAATCTTGGACGCGACGTTAAACCCAATTTCACCTCACCTCACCATACAATCTAGACCATCTATTAGCCATCCCAGAATGTTCTTTTGTTCAGGTTTCAAATTTGTAAATGAAAATTTGCCAAAATATGTTCCGAAGCGGAGTCGCCAATTTGAAACTAGTGCCGTAAAGCTCGAGAAAGCTGCCTTCTGACTGGTCATTCCATTGGTCGGTCAAAGTTCAGGCAAGGTCGGTCTGAAGTGACCCGTAATGGGATGTCCTCAGATCTTTGTTTAGCGGGAGCGAGAACTAAGATCGGATTTTAATGAGATTGAAAATGTGTGTAGACTATATTTAGAGAATAACCTGCACTACTGGGCCATCTGTCACCTGGGTTTGCAACAAAGGATTTCCTTTCCTCTATTTGAGCATCTCGGTTGTCTTGTGGATAGAAAGTCTGCCAGGAGAGCGGATGGTCGGTGGTTCAATCCCCTGGTCGCATCGTACCAAAAGATTTTAAAAGGAGGTACTTGTTGTTACCCTGCCTGGTGGGGCTAAAACAAGTACTGTACAAGTATAATGTGCCTGACTGGAGTATCCATATAAAACTGCGACATGGTATCTCAGTGGGTGGGCACTAATTTGCCCAGACCAGTAAAAGCAGACACAGATATGCAGACACACACTCATGCATACAGACACACACAGAAGGGAACATGCACGCATGCACGGACACACGTACACACCCCTCATGCCTTAATAACAGGAGGGGGCAAAAATTGCTGTGTTTCCCCTCTGGATGCCGAGGTTTTTTTCTGACGCACATTTTCCTAAGATTGGAAAAGTGAAGGTTGTGCGAGAATTGCGCTCACGCGACACTGGATCTACCCCTGGCTATAAAATTACGCAGAGGTGGGGAATATTAAATTTCCTATTTGATGGTGTAAATTTAACTGCAAATATTAAACCGGTTTTAAAAAAATACACTTCTAAGTGTTGTCCGAGAATTTATTCTGCGGTGAAAAACAGTAAATTTCTTCGCTTTTTATCGTACACCGATAAAAGAATTGTGTGACAAATTTATTTATTTAGAATCTTTACGGAAACTGTGAGCGAACAAAATACTGCCTAATATCTGAACGACATAACTATATATCAAATGGAGTTATATGCGTATGTATAACGACATACATTCAATGCCAAAAAATAGCATGCCATAAATGACGAAAACTGATTTTTCTCTATGACGTCAAAAGGCGACAGAGAGGTTACACACGTACAAAGAAAAGGGGGCATAACTCCGCTATGCTTAGCACTAGTTTATTGTAACTCAGGTCAATTGGTGAGAATTAGCTGTGGGTAAGGACAATTTATTTTCGTGGTGTTTTGTTCACGAGGAACCAAACTATTCCAACACAAATATCATATTGAAACTGTATACTGTTTAGTTATTAAAAAACCCCATAAGAAATGATGAAATCGTACTTCATAAAAAAAGAGTTAATAGAGAAGTGGATGGCCCTATCTAACCTATAAGTCCTTAGATTCCAACATTCTCCTGATTGTGTAAGTCTAATTTGACAATTGTTGGACCATTATTAATGGAGCACTAGCCTTATCATCAAATGTAATGAAATACCCAAAAAATAACACCATTCCTTTTGACGTCATGGCTGGTGCCATGTCTTTGATAACGTCGGAGAAAGACGACACTGGTATTTTGATTAATACATATCTGCTATAATTTTCGTTCATGGTATGGAAAATCTTGATGTGTAAAACGGAATTTGACGCTTTTCGACACAACATAAAATGACTGCTTTCACCAAGTAAATAATGTCTTGAATATGTTAACAATTAGATAGTTTATTGTGTATCTTAATTGGACAAGACACGCACCTGTTTGGCATCAATTTACGTAATGAAATACCCACAAGAATATTTCAAAACAACCAAAATTATATTCAATATTGGACATATATTTGTTTATTATGTTATTATTTCTCTTCATCTTGTCTCAGAATTACACAATAAAAGATGAGAAGAAAGCTCTATTGGTATAGAATTATCAGGATAATCGTATAAGGTTGAACAAACGGGGTACCTGGCATGGGTTTTATTTTTATAGTTTTTACAATTCCTGGAGAAATAAAGTAAACAGTTTAATATCCTGTGTTCACAATATTGAAAAAAAAGAATGAACCCATTGATTATATTATGCAAAACGAGAGGAATAATTCGTAAATTGTTTGTGACAAACGCGCACCTGGCAAATCATTAGATATCACTGTTCTGTATATCAAACGACATAAAAAACCCGATTCAATTGAGAAATGTGTGCATATATTTTAACGAAACATATTATCCATTTTGTGAAAGTAATATATTCAGTTTTAGTTATAAAATAAAATGAAACGGCTATTCATGGACATTGGTTATATGAACTTATAATATTGACTATTACACATCCCAAGAAATATGTACATGCTGCAGTTACATTTACACTTCATCTTGTAACACTTGTCCAAAGGAAACAACAAAACAAACAAAAGAAAAGAAATATCGTATTTGACACTATAAACCTATACATTCTTATGTAAACAATGTTCAAACAAACAGATTATCAAAGGTTCGTTCATACATGGTGTGGCCTATATATACGTATGATATCATTTTGAACATTGACAAATATCCAAAGTGAAATTAATTGTGTGAAAAAGTGCAAAATCTACATCATAACTGAAATTGTAAACAGCGTGATACAATGATCGTGTGCACTCTCATTCAAGGACCTTCACCTCAAAGAAATTACCAAATATGTACAACAATGTTGACGTATGACATCACTACCGGTGACCGACTCTTTCAAAATGGCGTGTTCACTGTCATCAATAGGCGGGATTTTGCGAGGGGGCTTTCGTTGATTCAGGGATCGTATATACATAAATGTGACATGTAAGTAATCAGAAACATTCTGACAATCTATGTACTGTTATTTGTTGTTATATTTTTCATTGAAACCAACGGAAATAGTCAGAAATTCCAACAAATACCGTTGTCGTTGTGCGTGATTTTGCGTCAGTCATGGCGTCACACAGAACGATAACTTTGACAATTTTCTAAAACATTCGAAACAATTGTAGGGTTATCGGAGACGTTTTGGAATGATCATTGGTGATTTCATAAAAGACAGATACCCGTGATTACTTATATTCTATTTTTGAAATTCATTTCTCCGAGTAAATATCCGAAATTTAGATTTCAAAACATGCTGTAAACAACGCCGTGAGTGGTGAATTAGCAATGTGTAAAAAATGGCGATTTTTACAATGTACCTAATTTTCAGAGGTCATTTTCAGTACTTTTGCTTGGCCTAAAATTCCAGTGGATGATATCACAGAACAGGAACTTTCCCACCTTATTCAAAACTGGGAAGTGTATTTTAGTGGCTGATGTATTTTTATGTGACGGCCTCCGTGGTCTAGTGGTAGAGTGTCCACCCGGAGAGCAGAAGGTCCAGGGTTTGATTCCAGGCCACGTCATACCAAAAGACGTTAAAAGATGGTACTTGTTGTTACCCTGTCTGGTGCTTGGCATTAAGGCGCTAAAAAAATGGCTTGTTGCTCGGAGTCAGTATACTGTGTCTGAGTGGGGTATTCATGTTAAACTGCGGCATGGTATCTCAGTGTGCTAGCACTATAAATCGGCACCAGTCCGGACTAGTACAAGCAGCCACCCACACACACGTGCATGCATGTCGATATATAAGTGCAATCATTTTGGATGTGATGTTAAACCCCATTTCACCTCACCTGGTAATTATGTATTTTTCTCTGCAGGCGGTATGGTGTGAGCAAGACACCGAAGGAGGAACAGGTAAATAGACTGCAGCGTCAACAAATCTACAGGAAAGTGTAAAATGAATACTCTAATATTCCAGCTGTGTGACAGCACTAGATAATCAAGTCAACCAGACAATCCAGTGATTGACATCATCATGATCATGAGCATCGATCCACGCTATTGGGATTCGATGACAAGCATTAACCAATCAGCAAGCCTGACCACCCGATCCCGTTAGTCGCCTCTTGCGACAAGCATGGGTTGCTGAATACCAATTCTAACACATGGGTTTAACCAGAAAGTTACAGTCTCTGGTTGAACATTCTAGGAGTAACAGAGTTCGGAAATATTGGTTCAAACATTCTTTCTCTTGAAGTGTGAAAAGGCTTCCTCTGAACTCTTCACATCCTGTTGGTCAGGGAAAAGAAGAAATCCATGAAACTGGATCTTGTTTGGAACCACAGCTTTTACTGTTTTAAAATTGAAAATTACATGTATCTTTAGGTTATACAGTCTTATAGATCCAGATATATGAGAAAGCTACGTGATAAATTGCAAAGAACAATGATAATTTCATTGTTCTATCATGACGTCATTTCTGGAGATTCGAACATGCACTCGCAACTTGATGATGTATATTGGAAGATGTTATTTTTCTGAGGTGAGTGTCTTGTGAGTCGTTCCCCATAGATGTAGCTCAACGTGGATAAACGCAATGGCTGAATGTTAGATTCTTTTTATCCAGGGAAATGAAGTTGTGTATCTCAGTTGGTGTATTTGTGATTCTGTTGTAGGAAGATGAAAAAGCAGCCAAGAAAAAGGCAGTGGCTGCTGGTTTGTCTGGGCAACAAGTGCCTGAGTCTACTGAAGAGACACAGGAAGAGGAAGAGGTGAGAGGGAATTGTGGGAAAAGGAGAATTGTGGGTAATAGAACTGTCCCCAAGGATTTAGTGTCGGTCTACTGAGGAGACACAGGAAGAGGAAGAGGTGAGAGGGAATTGTGGGAAAAGGAGAATTGTGGGAAAAGGAGAATTGTGGGTAATAGAACTGTCCCCAAGGATTTAGTGTCAGTCTACTGAGGAGACACAGGAAGAGGAAGATTGAAAGGGAATTGTGGGAAAAGGAGAACTGTGGGAAATAGAACTGTCTCCAAGGATTTAGTGTCGGTCTACTGAGGAGACACAGGAAGAGGTGAGAGGGAATTCTGGGTAATAGAACTGTCTCCAAGGATTTAGTGTCGGTCTACTGAGAAGACACAGGAAGAGGAAGATTGAAAGGGAATTGTGTAGCAGACACAGGAAGACCATGGCTAGACTCCCATTTCTTTGTCTGTAATCAGTAGGTAATCACGGGCATGTAAACTCTGTATGCTCATCAAGACATACCCATGATGTACTCAACAATGAGTTTGATAGTAGCTATTTTGTCCTTTTTGTCACATTATCACCGAAAGGAGAAGAAAATCCAGTATTTAAACTGTGTATGATTTGATTAAGGCCCAAACACTAGTGTCATTTTTCATATCAAACTTCATCCAACAAAGCAACCTTTCCTCAATTTGGAAAACAAATCTGCTCAATAAAAGGAAATAATGTATATGCTCTGTACTTGCTATTACGATCAGTGCCAAATGAAATGTCCAAACATACCTACCGTATTCGACGTAATAAGCGCCCAGGGTGCTCACAAAATTAGAAATAGGGGGCTCTTATTTGAATATAATTTTGGTGAAAGAGTTGAAAGATCGTAAATTTCATGGTTTATGCTTTCAACCTAAAATGATACAAAAGTCAAGTCTGTGCGTATTATATTGTTACAGAATTTAATTGCCTGTAATTAAGGGTGTATATAACACACGAGTGCATTTACTACACGATTAAATAAGTCTTGTGTACATTGATCAATCAGAAGGGTGCTAATTGGGATTGTACACTAGTCAATATATGAGCAAATATCGCCGTGGGGGCTTATTAGAGCGGGGCGCTTATTATGTCGAATACGGTAATAGTAACTGCACATCTGAAAAATGTTTCTATCCTAAATATACACTGCACATGCAGGTAGTTCTTTTAAACCTTACTTATACTACATAACCTACACCGCACATTTAATTTAGTATATATAGGTGCTCATTTTTGTGTGACATCAAATGATATACATTTGAATTTTTCAGCGTCGAATCAAAATGCTGATGAGTGACATGTTGGCCACAGGAGCGCTAGAGGTATGTTACCATGGAAACGGATATTTATTAATAATAAAATAGCGTACAGCATGATGCTATTAGTAATGTTAGTGGTGTGCTGAACTTGCTGATGTCATATATTTGTTGGATATTGTACTGCAGTCGTAGATTGAAAAATGTAAAACTGAATGTCACATGGCCATATCATGAGATAAATATCCTAGTTAATTTCTTTGACAATGTATGGAAGAAGGTTCATTTTTCATTTTTGTAGTATTTATTATCTTATAGAAAATGGTGGGTGTTTAAATTTTGAATTTATTTTAAAATTGATTTTATTTATGATACTTTTAGATTTTGATCCCCTGATATGTAGATACTTCTTGACTAGTATAAGTAGACACCCATGCTGTGCTTGTGTACCAGACCAAGAGCAGATCATGCATGACACAAACTTCCAACTACTCACTGTTCTCTCTCTCACAGGCTAGCTTTGTTTGCTTGGTTGTTTGTTTGTTGTTGAACGCCGCTCTCAGCGATATTCCAGCTATAGCACGGCAGTCTGTTAGTAATCAGGACTGGGCCAGACAGTCCAGTGATTGACATCATGAGCATTGATGTGCGCAATTGGAACCAACGAAGTCAGCGAGCTTGACACCCAATCCCGTTAGTCGCCTGTTACGGCTCTCAGCGATATTCCAGCTATAGCACGGCAGTCTGTTAATAATCAGGACTGGGCCAGACAGTCCAGTGATTGACATCATGAGCATTGATATACGCAATTGGAACCAACGAAGTCAGCGAGCTTGACACCCAATCCCGTTAGTCGCCTGTTACGGCACGCATGGATTGCTGAAGACCTGTTCTCACCCGGATCTTCACTGCGGACAGACTGTTCCTGTTACAGTTTTCATTGGTCTTGAACCAAATGAATGATTCGTTGTTGATTGTTTTATTTAGTTGTTTTTTTGTTATATAATATTAAAGTATTATCTGAGTGATAACAATTACTGCCCAACTTAGAGATTTTGTTATGGTTCCTGCTTCACACAGAGATCATATTATTTCAGCTTTTCTCCGAGATCATAAAATAATGATCACTGCTTTACTCAGAGATTCTTATGTGGAATCACTGCTTTACTCAGAAATCCTAATATGGGATCACTGTTCTTCTCAGAGATCCTAATATTGGATCACTGCTTTACTCAGAGATCCTAATATTGGATCACTGTTCTTCTCAGAGATCCTAATATTGGATCACTGTTCTTCTCAGAGATCCTAATATTGGATCACTGTTCTTCTCAGAGATCCTAATACAGGATCACTGCTTTACTCAGAGATCCTGATATGGGATCACTTCTTTTCTCAGAGATCCTAATACAGGATCACTGCATCACTGGGTGGATGGTTGGGTGAATGCACATTTTGGGGGGAGTGTCATCTTTTGACTGGTGCTAATTCTCCGTTGTTGCAGAATGGAGATGTATGTGATGCTAAGAATGATCAGTTCAGGGAATGAAAGGTCACTAGTTATAGCTTAGTAGAGCCCTTGCACTGAATGATGCCTCATGGCTGTTCCTTGTGTCGTACCTGTTTCCCCATCATCACAGACCTTGTCCCTGTGTTGTACATACCTGTATCCCCCATCACCACAGACCTTGTACATACCTGTATCCCCCATCATCACAGACCTTGTGCATACCTGTCTCCCCCCATCATCACAGACCTTGTACATACCTGTATCCCCCATCACCACAGACCTGGTCCCTGTGTTGTACATACCTGTCTCCCCCATCACCACAGACCTTGTACATACCTGTATCCCCCATCACCACAGACCTGGTCCCTGTGTTGTACATACCTGTCTCGACCGCCTCCGTGGTCTTGTGGTAGAGCGTCCGCCCGGAGAGCGGAAGGTCCAGGGTTCGATCCCGGGCCGCGTCATACAAAAAGACGTTAAAAGATTGTACTTGTTGTTACCCTGTCTGGCGCTCGGCATTAAGGGGCTAAAACAAGGACTGGTCGGCTCGGAGTCAGTATACTGTGTCTGAGTGGGGTATTCATGTTAAACTGCGGCATGGTATCTCAGTGAGCTAGCACTATAAATCGGCATCAGTCCGGACTAGTACAAGCAGCCACACACACACATACACGTGCATGCACGTCGCTATATAAGTGCAATAATCTTGGACGCGACGTTAGACCCAATTTCACCTCACCTCACCTACATACCTGTCTCCCCCATCATCACAGACCTGGTCCCTGTGTTGTACATACCTGTCTCCCCCATCACCACAGACCTGGTCCCTGTGTTGTACATACCTGTCTCCCCCATCACCACAGACCTGGTCCCTGTGTTGTACATACCTGTATCCCCCATCATCACAGACCTGGTCCCTGTGTTGTACATACCTGTATCCCCCATCATCACAGACCTGGTCCCTGTGTTGTACATACCTGTCTCCCCCATCATCACAGACCTTGTCCCTGTGTTGTACATACCTGTATCCCCCATCATCACAGACCTGGTCCCTGTGTTGTACATACCTGTATCCCCCATCATCATAGACCTTGTCCTTGTGTTGTACATACCTGTATCCCCCATCACCACAGACCTTGTACATACCTGTATCCCCCATCATCACAGACCTTGTCCTTGTGTTGTACATACCTGTCTCCCCCATCACCACAGACCTGGTCCCTGTGTTGTACATACCTGTATCCCCCATCATCACAGACCTGGTCCCTGTGTTGTACATACCTGTCTCCCCCATCATCACAGACCTTGTCCTTGTGTTGTACATACCTGTCTCCCCCATCACCACAGACCTTGTCCCCGTGTTGTACATACCTGTATCCCCCATCATCACAGACCTTGTCCTTGTGTTGTACATACCTGTATCCCCCATCACCACAGACCTGGTCCCTGTGTTGTACATACCTGTCTCCCCCATCACCACAGACCTGGTCCCTGTGTTGTACATACCTGTCTCCCCCATCACCACAGACCTGGTCCCCGTGTTGTACATACCTGTCTCCCCCATCACCACAGACCTGGTCCCTGTGTTGTACATACCTGTCTCCCCCATCACCACAGACCTGGTCCCTGTGTTGTACATACCTGTCTCCCCCATCACCACAGACCTGGTCCCTGTGTTGTACATACCTGTATCCCCCATCATCACAGACCTGGTCCCTGTGTTGTACATACCTGTCTCCCCCATCACCACAGACCTGGTCCCTGTGTTGTACATACCTGTCTCCCCCATCACCACAGACCTGGTCCCTGTGTTGTACATACCTGTCTCCCCCATCATCACACACCTGGTCCCTGTGTTGTACATACCTGTATCCCCCATCATCACAGACCTGGTCCCTGTGTTGTACATACCTGTATCCCCCATCATCACAGACCTTGTACATACCTGTATCCCCCATCATCACAGACCTTGTGCATACCTGTATCCCCCATCATCACAGACCTGGTCCCTGTGTTGTACATACCTGTATCCCCCATCATCACAGACCTTGTACATACCTGTATCCCCCATCATCACAGACCTGGTCCCTGTGTTGTACATACCTGTCTCCCCCATCACCACAGACCTGGTCCCTGTGTTGTACATACCTGTATCCCCCATCATCACAGACCTGGTCCCTGTGTTGTACATACCTGTCTCCTCCATCATCACAGACCTGGTCCCTGTGTTGTACATACCTGTCTCCCCCATCACCACAGACCTGGTCCCTGTGTTGTACATACCTGTATCCCCCATCATCACAGACCTTGTACATACCTGTATCCCCCATCATCACAGACCTTGTACATACCTGTATCCCCCATCATCATAGACCTTGTCCTTGTGTTGTACATACCTGTCTCCCCCATCACCACAGACCTTGTCCCTGTGTTGTACATACCTGACTCCCCCATCATCACAGACCTTGTCCCTGTGTTGTACATACCTGTTTCCCCATCACCACAGACCTGGTCCCTGTGTCATACCCTGTGTTGTACGTACTTGCACCCCATCATATCCCATGATCCTTTGTTCCAGTATGTCCTGTGGCGCTTCCTGTATGAAGCACTGCATGGTTATCCCCCTTGTTTGACGTTGTTTAGGGCAAGTTAACGGCAGGTGCTGTTGGGTCCATCGTGGGCATGCAAGCAGGGGAGATTCAGCAGATCGCGTCCGAGTATGCCGAGAAAGTGAGTCTTTTTATTTTCATAGTTTCATTTGCATGCACTTTTATTTTCATTCTCTAATATTTATTGAAATTTGTTTTGACAATATAGTTTTAGACAATGTCCAAAGCTTGTCTGCTGAACTTTTTTATCTCCCATTCTTGCTTTCTATTTCTTACAATTTGCATGATTTGAATGTTTTATCATAAATATTGCACCTTTATTGCATATGGAATATGTTGTATATGCTTTGTTGGTTAAACAGCTTTCTTTCAGCCCCTAAGGGTGAGTATGGTACAATGGTGATCTAATGAACAGGATGTTTCTTGTTTGTTTGTCATTTAATATCACAGTCAGCAATTGGCCAACTATATGATGAATGAAGTCTTTAAACGGCGTTAAGAAGTTGGGAGAACATGATCATGAATACATGACACTTTTTATGGATAGCAACTTCTTTTATTCGTTGTCTCGCTGTTTCAGAGCTACTTCTTGTTCCTTCATCATGACAATCATTCATCCGTTGAAGGAGTGAGTGAGTGAGTTGGGTTTGACGCCGCTTTTAACATTATTCCAGTTATATCACGGCGTGTCAGCTTAATGTGGGAGGAAAGCCCGAAGTGATTCAGGTCTCAGACATTTATCACTTTGGTGAAACCCATGAGCACGGGTATGGTGCTGACAAACCTAGAAACATAATCGCGGTGAACCGGGATTGGAACCCACAATCATAGGTTTCTGGCGTGCCCAAGGGACACAGCTATGCACAGCGAATCGCGTCACCTTAGATGACTTGGCCACTTATGCCCCCTCCATTGAAGGAGCAAGAAGTAGCTCAGAAACATTGTGACAAAGAATAAAAGAAGTTGCTATCCATAAAAAGTGTCATGTATTTATGATAAAAAGTCTGTAAATAATTGAGTCTGGACAAGACAAACTATAGTCCTTCACCATGACTGTGGAATATATGTATTTTAGGAAACCATAACCAATTTTTTAAGAAGCAAGTCTAGCCAGCTCTATTCCACAGCATCCGTAGAAATGTGTTGTACAATGAAAAATTTCCTAGACTATATGTTAGTCTAAAGAGAGACCAGTGTGTGATATTATGGGCAACATCCTGTGCCATCAAAGTATGATGGTAGTACCATCGTACTCACCCACTCTGCCAAGCCAGACATGACACTGATTCTTCATGGGGACTGATTCCATGATGCGGGTTCTCAGTGACAAGACGGCACTGATGACATCCTGCATGAAGTTGGATGGGGATTGTTGCATGCTGGGATGAGATGGGATGGGTGGGGTGATGGTGTTGGCGTGCAAGGGGAGCTTGTGTGGAGTGAGGTGCTAGCAGTCAATGCACGGGGGTTGGTGTGAGGCAGGGATGCACAGGGGTGGGCGTGGGTGGTATAACGCCATCTTCCCGAGGCAAGGGAGTTTACTGACTGGTCAGTAAGGGGGGCATAGAAGGGACATAACTCCTAATAGCCACTGGTGGAGCTACGATCGAGCCCAGAAATTCCAGCCTAGTTCGGCAAGGGTGGAAACTGGCTTTTTTAAAGTCTGTTAACTCCCTTGCCTCGGGAAAGTGACTCAAGGTGGGGTGGGAAGGGTGGAGTTTGTACTGTGTGAGTTGTATGGTGATCATGCTGCATTTCTGCAAGTCTCAATTACTCTGTGAAATTTTGCATCAAATGCATGCCTATTGACATAAAAATATCTAGACATTTCAGAATTATTCTACCATTTATATAAATTTACATGAAACATGAAGGTGTTTGTTCATGCTATGGCAGGGGGAAAAGAGGAGTTGGTTGAAACTACTTGTTTACAAAGCAGATTTAAGCATAAGCTGACCTTTACTATCATTAGATAAGAAATGCGTGATTGCATGTCTGTTGAGTGTGTTGTACATGGGAGCAATGATTTAACAAATGTTATATTTGGGATAACACTTTCTTAGTAAAGTACAGATTCTTGTACTTTTTTGGGTTGAGTCCCGTCCGGGATTCGAACCCACGCCTGCCAGGGTGAGGCACCTAATAGCCAGCACACAAAGTCAGCGATCTAACCCACTCAGCCACCGAGGCTTCCACAGAAATGAAAGTCCGACAACTAGTAGTCAAGATCACATACTTTGAGTACCCCCCTGACAAGTAGTATTCGGTGCAATGATTGCAGATTTGACAACAATGCGCACTCAACAGTATACCAGCTCTATGATGGCAGTCTGTTAGTAACTGAGTCTGGACAAGACAATGCAGTTATTCACATCAGGAGCATCGATTGACGCAATGGGATACAATGACATGCATCAACCAAGTCAGAGAGCCTGACCACCAGATCCTGTTAGTTCCCTCTTACGACAAGCACAGTAGTAGACATTTACGGCAAGCGTGGGTTGCTGAAGACCTATTCTTTACCCGGATCTTCATGGGTCTCACACATTGTACTCCTGTGGGGAATTGAACCCAGGCTTGGACGTGATGAGCCAACGCTATTGCCACTAGGCTACCCCACTGCTAAATTAAATTAACAATGATGAAAACATAAATGCAGAACCTTTAGCGCCAGACAGCAAACGAGTTGTATACTCCCCAGGAAGCTGAGAATGCAGATGGAATGTACTCTGGTCTGTTGATTAGGGTAGTGATCATATGTTCATGCACTGAGTGGAATTAGTGCTATATTATTTACATTATCTTGTCCAATTTTCAGCAAGCTGAGATTGAACAGATCGAGAAGACGGAGCGTGTAGGTGGCGCTCAACAACACAAACGAGTCACCACTGCTCTCCGGAAACAGATTGAACAACAGAAGACCAAACTGGAAGAGGTATGGTAAACTGGTCTTACAGTTCGTACGCGTTGCTCTCTCTGCACTTATCGCAGATATCTTTAGTAGACAGGATACGAGTCTGTGGCTGCTAGAATGAATCTGTTCCCTAGCAGAGTGTGTTTGTTACACTAAGAGTCAACTCAGATATTCATGAGTACTTATGGGGTTTGTATGCACGTCATTCTCCATTACCATGAATATGGCTGCTGTTTGGTGTAGTGGTGATTAGGGCTGGAATGAGTCCAAATTTCCTACCAGGGTACCTACCCCCGGTCTCAAGTGATAGGTACAAACTGTCTGATTGGGAAAAGTTTGACTTAGCCCTGGCAAAATATGATAAGATTTTAGAAGTTGAAGTTAACCAAAGTTTTATCTTTATTCAAACATATAATGGTCAGAAAGAATGGATGCATAGTCAAAAAGAAATGTGAACATTAGTGACTTGTAGCTTAACCATAGAGTTTGAGATGATTTTTGTTATTAAACAATATATCACGTGACTAACAACGGGTCTGGGTAGTCCTGTGGGTACCGGTGTCCTACTCAGTACCCACTCAACTCGAGCACCCAAATTACCCGCCCCAGCCCTTGTAATGATATGTCTGACTAAGTTAGTAAGTCAGTTAAAAGTAGTGACGACACAGCATCCGTGTGTATTCATGATGGTGGAATGTAGTGAGCACAAATCTATGAACAGTGTTTCAGTTACATCGCGTATATTTGATGTGGGAGGAAAGACCAAACCGATACAGGTCTTAGACATGTACTTGGGGCACGGGTGGCCCAATTGTCTAAAGCGCCGCGATTCGTTATGCAGAGTTGCGTCCCTTGGGCACGCCAGAAACCTATGATTGTGGTTTCGAATCCCAGTTCACCCCAATTATGTTTCTAGGTTTGTCAGCACCATACACGTGCTCGTGGGTTTCACCGAAGTGGTAAACGTCTGAGACCTGCATCACTTCAGGCTTTCCTCCCACATTAAGCTGACATGCCGCGATAAAACTGGAATACTGTTAAAAGCGGTGTTAAACCCAACTCACTCACTCACTCACTCACTCACTCACTCACTCACTCACTCACTCACTCAGACATGTACTACTATGGTGAGACCCACAAGAATGGATATGATGATGAAAAAACTATGATTTAATAATCAGGGAAAATCTGCAGCGTTAGAAATTGGCACTAGTCCCGTAGTCCTTGCCAAACTGTCCAATGGTTAAGGTATCCTAAGGACCAGTAAAAATTGCCCTTTTTAGAGGTTTTGCTATATGTTATCATTATAAGGACTAGTATTGATCTGGGATTCAAACTCAAGATCATTGAATTTGGGTTCCTTTGATGACTGAGCCATGTGTCTGTGCTCCTCTCTCCCTCCCTGAACATGAAGTTGTCCTTGTTCTGTTTGGAGTTGATGACGTCTTCATGGTAACAGGACTGCCTCCATGGTCTAGTGGTAGAGCGTCCGCCTGATGAGCGGATGGCCCAGGGTTCGATCCCTGGCCGCATCATACCCAAAGACGGTAAAAGATGGTACTTGTTGTTACCCTGTCTGGCACTTGGCATTAAGGGGCTAAAACAAGGGCGGGTTGGCTCTGAGTCCGTATACTTTGTCTGAGTGGGGTATTCACGTTAAACTGCATGGTATCTCAGTGTGCCAACACTACAAATCGGCATCAGTCCGGACTAGTACAAGCAGACACACACACACATGCATGCACGTCGCTATATAAGTGCAATAACCTTGGACTCGATGTTAAACCCCATGTCACCTCACCTGATAGTAACAGAATTTTTACTGGTCCTGATGATACCTTTACTATTTGGCAGATTGGCAAGGACTATAGGACTAGTGCCAATTTCTAAGGCTGTGGGTTGAAAAATGATCCGTTGAAAAGTAATCTTCACACAACCGCTGATCTTGATGTAATGTCAGTTGAAATGTGAGAGATGAGACAGGGACACACCAGATCCACAATATAGCCCAAACACCTTCCAGAATATTGCTCCACATCAGTCCACGCTGTCCTGGAAGATTACACATCACATAAGCATCTTAATATAATAACTTGATCACAACTGCTTACATTAAATAGTACTACATTCCTGACAACTCATCATTGTCCAAATGCAATGCACTGAACTTCAACTGAATCTCAACAGAAACAATGTAATACAGCTACAATCATTGTTGAACAATAAATTACACTGCCATATAACATATTATATCTTGTTTATTTGTGTTGCTAGGTAACAGCAAAGCATGCAGAACTTCATCAGACCTACCTGGACACCCAGGAGAAGCTGAAGGAGGTGAGTAACATGTTTTTTTAAGAAATGGAAACTGTTCTTTACATTCCATCAGTGATGTCTCATCTCACTTTGGAAGTGTGATTGAATGTGGAGGATAAAACAAACATGAGAAAGTTCAGGTCAAAATATTTTGAAATTAGTTTGTTATGATTTAATGTTTGAACACTGATGATATTTAAAAGTATGAGCGGGGGTTCATGGGCAACTTGTATCCTGCTTGCTATGAGAAATGTCGAAAATCGTGATTAGATTACCAAAATGGCTGCTGGCTGTGGGAAGGGAGACAACTCCTTAAGACTGTGTGAATGCCTTTGGTTCTTGTGTAATCTCACCATTCTTTATGCACTTGTGGTGAGTCAGTTTTTATTTAACATCACATGGTAATATTGCAGGAGCACACTGACAAGTTAGACACCTTTGATGTCATTAGCAGAATCTTGAATTGCTAGTAATCTGTTTGATGACTCTCACACAAAGATTCTTGACATTAGAGATTATTTCGATGGACTTCTTCCAAATGGCCTGGGGAAATCTATTGGCACATTAAAAGGTCAAATGTCAAGGTCATCAGATAGAAGAAAAAAATCACCAAGATGTTCTCAAAAAGTATTTTCATTAAATGGGGTATATATATCGTCTCTATGATAGAAGCCGGTTTTGAAAAGGAATTTGTCAAGATTAGCCAAAGTAAGACAAAGGTCAAGGTCATCATTCAGCTTTTTGTAAAACATAGTTATTAACATATGTCATAAAACTTAAAATGTGCCTGTATCTTAGCCAATCTTACAACATCTATTATTCGTACTGTGTCTATCAAAGGTTATTGTGAGGCATGGTTTTATCATTAACTGCCAGTTACACTTTCACTTTACAGTCTTGAGACTTGGGTAATTGTTGGATCTTAACAAGTTGTCTTGATTGAGGTCGTCTGGAAGTACATAATGGACAATTTAATAGACTTTAAGTTTTGAGAAAATGGCGGTGATGGAGCGGCTTATGTTTTTGCAAGTTGTGACATCTCTTGTTATAGTAAGGTCCTTTTACACCTGTCAAGTTGTTATTCACATATATAAGGTTATTATGTGCTTGTAAAGGCCACTTGTAAAGTCAGTATAGCCCTAAAAGCCATTATGTACCTGTAAAGTAGCTCCATGCTTACAAAAGCCATTCTCTATCTGTTAGGTCATTATGATCCTGTGAAGTCATTGCACACCTTTGAATACCCATTCACCTTCTTCAGGTTCAAGACAAGAGTGAAGCTATTGACACTGAAATGGAGAAACTGGCCGAGGTCGAAACAGAGGAGAATCAGGGGTATGTACTCCACATCGTGTCAATATAATATAATATTATATTTGTATTTTATTGAATACCAGTATAATAATTTGCAGTCTGAAACAGTGTTTACTGGCTTATTTGTTGAGAATATCGTGTGTAGTGGCTTCGTTCAGAAAATGGCTGAACATCCATGCAGTCGACAGTTTGTAACTTAGCGTTGATCTAAGTAAACATTATTTTATACATGTATATCTTACCATATTTGGGGCGGTCGGGTAGCCTAGTGGTTAAAGCATTCGCTCGTCACGCCAAAGACCCGGCTCCGATTCCGACATGGGTACAATGTGTGAAGCCCATTTCTGGTGTCCCCCGCCGTGATATTACTGGAATATTGCTAAAAGCGGCGTAAAATCAAACTCACTCACTCACTCTTACCATATTTGCATTCAAATGGTCCCAGCAGTCAAAGTAGTTAACAATAACGGGATACCTAAAGTTGTACAAACGATTGATCTTACTGTACGAAAAAACACAAAGATAAAATCATTCATTTATATTTTTCTCACAAACACCGTCAATTTTTCTGTCGTAACCATTCACATTTATGCACATATGTCCTCAGGTGTGCATACACATACAGTACAGTCGATAGTTGAATTATCATCCGACCCACATTCCATGATTGGAATAACGCAGGGGGTTGTTCATGGACCCCGAGACCCGCGGGGATGACTGTATAAATATAAATATGACGATGGCCTGTAATCAATCAAATCTGGGCCAGGGTGACCATTGGTTGGTATTTGGAGCAAAGATGACGTACAATCAACAAGTCACCTTGTGTGACAAGCATAGGTTACTGTGTACCACCTTTCTCACGGATCTCCCACATATTGCTGTCGACCTGTGAAGATCCGGGGTAGAATAGGTCTTCAGCAACCCATGCTTGCCCTAAAAGGCGACCATGCTTGTCGTGAGAGGCAACTAACAGGATTTGGGGGTCAGGCTCGTTGACTTGGTTGATGCATGTCAATGTATCCCAATTGCGTGGATAGATGCTCATGATGTCAATCACTAGATTGTCTGGTCCAGACTTGATTATTTACAGATGGTCATCATATAGCTGGAATATTGCTGAGTGCGGCATAAAACAGCAAATGAACAAACAAACAAACATGTTGCTGTCCATTTTATAAGTTACAGTGGTCTAGTGGTAGAGCGGAAGGTCCGGGGTTCGATCCCCGGCCGCGTCATACCAAAAGACGTTAAAAGATGGTACTTGTTGCAACCCTGTCTGGCGCTCGGCATTAAGGGGCTAAAACAAGGACTGGTCGGCTCGGAGTCGGTATACTGTGTCTGAGTGGGGTATTCATGTTAAACTGCGGCATGGTATCTCAGTGAGCTACCACTTTAAATCGGCATCAGTCCGGACTAGTACAAGCAGCCACACAAACACACACACATACATGCATGTCGCTATATAAGTGCAATAATCTTGGACGAGATGTTAAACCCCATTTCACATCACCTCACCAAGGTTAAACTTGATATAGTACAGGGGCAAGGGAAAGTAAGTCAACACTGTGTGGCTCTGTGAGGTGTTTTTATTCATTGTGTTTCCTGTCCTCACTACAGAATCCTGACCAGTCTGAGGTCCTTGGTGGCCATGAATGAGAACCTCAAGAAGCAGGAGCAAGAGTTCAAGGCCCATTGCAAGGTCAGGGTTATATCTCTGTTTTTTATCCACGTGGTTCACAACAAATGAATTGATAAAACTCAAGAGACAAGTTCAGGAGTTCAAGGACCATTGCAAGGTCAACGTCATAACTCTATTTCATATCATGTGGTTCACAATAAGTGACTTGATAAACCTCAAGTTCAAGAGTTCAAGGCCATTGCAAGGTCAGGATCATAACTCTGTTTCACATCCACGTGGTTCACAGTAAGTGACTTGATAAACCTTAAGTTCAAGAGTTCAAGGCCATTGCAAGGTCAGGATCATAACTCAGTTTCACATCCACGAGGTTCACAATAAGTGACTTGATAAACCTTAAGTTCAAGAGTTCAAGGCCATTGCAAGGTCAGGATCATAACTGTTTCACATCCAAGTGGTTCACAATAAGTGACTTGATAAACCTTAAGAGGCGTGTCCAGGGTCTCTATTTATTATCTGTTGCTTGTTCCTGCAGGAGGAGATGGTTCGACTCAAGGACAACATCAGTCGGCTGAAGGAAGACATAGATGAAGACGACTCTGAAGACAAGGTAGCCAACATTTTCAAGTCAACATCCAGATGTCATGATGTGAATAAGGAACATTTTTGGTTCATTATAAGCTAACATCTTCAACAGAACCTCAATGTTTTTGCTCATTTTTATAATCCTTGATTAGAAGTGTTCTCGGGATATGTGGTTATATAATACAGGAAGCCTCCGGTTAGGCCACAAAAAATTAATTGCTAGATTATCCTCCACGCCCTATTCATGACTTACCCACCACCACCGCCACCCCACCCAAGGACAAATCTTTATATTTGCCAGAGTGAAATGTTTAGAACATTATAACAACATCAGCTGTCAAATTGCCATTCCATGTTTACGGCATGCTGTAAACTGGTCTACAACAAACTCTCGGTGTGTCTGCCTATCGTCTGCATGAGTACATGTTGGGGCAGGGCAAACGAAAATAAGGTTTGACACAGATATGTCTGACTGCTACTGTTGAAATCAATGTTTAATTATTATCTTTGTTATTTCAGTCATCTATTGGTGTCCAGTATTCATGAGACTAGACGCCTTTAATAGTAAAATATGAAATTAAAAGCCTCCCTCCCCTCACTTTTGAAAAATAAGCGGATAATAATCTAGCAATTCTCTAGTATTCCTTGGGTGGACATAAATAGCATAACATTCACAGTGCCCTCTGCAAATATGTTTCTGCCCTACAAAATCCCATGTTTGATCTCTGATGTTTATTTGTTTGCTTGTTGTTTAACGCTGCACTCAGCAATATTCCAGCTATATGACGGCGGTCTGTAAATAATCGAGTCTGGACCAAACAATCCAGTGATTGATATCATGAGCATCGATCCACGCAATTGGAATCGATGACATTCATCAACCAAGTCAGCGAGTCTGACCACCAAATCCCGTTAGTCGCCTCTTACAACAAGCATAGTCGCCTTTTACAGCATGGGTTGCTGAAGACCTATTCTACCCCGGATCTTCACGGGTACTTTGATCTCTGAACAAATGATTCAGGGTTGTGATTCACTTGCAAAAAGAAAGAATATCAACTTGTGAAATATAAGTACTATATTGGAATATGAATCGCATTGGATCCATCGTATCGTGATACGCATCGTATTGCGACCCCACCATATTGTTACACCTCTGTGGTGAGCTGGTGTCTTTTGATAGTTTTTTTTTTTTTAACAATGTATTTTTCGAGTTTCCATGGCACCCACTGAAAATGGCATTAGTGCTCCTTTCTGGAGCAGATCTTGAAAATCGTACAATATTTCTTCACCAAACATGGCACATAGATAGGTTAAGTGGTGAACTGGTGCCGTTTGATAGTTTGGGATTTTTTGAAAATTTATATTTAGAGTTTCCATAGCAATGAGTTTGACTTGGACTGAAAATGGCAGTAGTGCACGTTTCTGGTGCAGACCTTGAAAACAGAACAAATATTTTGTGCCTTGTGCAAAACGGAACATGTCATATTGGCAGGGTATATGAGTATTTCATGCTTGTTGAGAATAATTCCAAGGACCTCTAAATGATAACTTTAACATTGTGGTTATTCAGGAGACAAGCATTTATGTGTTTTCATATTTGCATATTTGATGCCTGGGCAGTGACAAACTGAATGGGGGTAAAAAACAACTTGAATGAAGTTGTTCTGATAAATATTGATCACACATAATATATTAGTATCGCTGTAGTGAGTGAGTGAGTGAGTGAGTTAGGTTTAACGCCGCTTTTAACAGTATTCCAGTTATATCATGGCGTGCCAGCTTAATGTGGGAGGAAAGCCCGAAGTGATGCAGGTCTCGGACGTTTACCACTAGCAAGGGTATGGTGCTGACAAACCTAGAAACATAATTGGGGCTAACCAGGATTCGAACCCACAATCATAGGTTTCTGCCATGCCCAAGGGACGCAACTCTGCACAGCGAATCGCGGCGCCTTAGACGACTGGGCCACCCGTGCCCCCAGTATTGCTGTATCTGTTTTGTCTGGTTGAATGGCAAATTTGGGATAGAAACGTACTTCTCAAGAAATGTCTAGAATCCCATTTAACAACATTTAACGATAAGATTGAAACAATCCTTCTATTCATTACAAATAGAGGCAGATCCAGGGTTTCGAAACAAGGGTGCTGGGTCAGAAATACCCATTTTACCCATTCATCGGTAGATCCTCCAGTGATAAAGTTAATGTTAATACCAGTCAAGTAACAGTTATCTCCCTTGTGTTTCCTGTGACCCCTAGGCACGAGCTGGGCTGATCGACAAGCAGTACACCGCAGACAAGGAGAAGCTCCATAAGATACGTCTGCTGCTGGTATGTAAACCATATTCATTTCAGTGTTCCAGACCGCCTCCGTGGTCTAGCGGATAGAGTCTTTGCCTGGTGGTCAGTGGTTTGCTACCCGTCCGCGTCTTACCAAAAGTGTAAAAAATGGTATTTGTTATTAACTTACCTGGCGCTCCACTTTATTAAGGGATAAACCAAGAATTGGTCAGCTCGGAGTCAGAACACTGTGTTCGAGTTGGGTGTCCATGTTAAACTGCTGCATGGTATCTCAGTGGACTAGCACTATAAAATCAGCATTAGTCAAGATGAGTAGCAGACACACACACAAACAGACACACATAAATGCATATCACTATATAAGCAGTGTATAAAACTCCCTAAAATTTCAGTCAGACAACCGGACTGGCAACTTTGCGAAGGTACCAGTCCAGATAAAATGTTGCCAGTCCAGAATTTTCTGGACTTCCAAACAAAAGTAACGAAAGGATAAACAAAAGAAAAGTACCGTTTTATGTTAGTTCTCAGAAAATAACAGTAAACTGACAGATTGTCAACTTAATAACTATAACTCATTGACATTTTATTTATCAAAAATGATTTTAACACTGACAGTTAGTTTACCCCTTACATTGAATTAAAACAAGAATACCAGTAAATCTTGAACATAGTTATCTCCCTTGAATAGCCTCAAAGCCAGGCATGCAATGTTTCAAAAGGGACCGTCAATCAGCAAAAATAAACACATATATCTTGGATCCAATGGATGTTTGTAATTGTTATCAACTCTTCTTGATATATTTGATCTCAGAAGAACTTCGAATGAGATTCTCCATGTATGTCCGAACAGGCCAGGAAGAATCGCGAGATCGCAGGTCTGCAGCGGAAGATAGATGAGGTTCCAACAAGGGCAGAGCTCAGTCAGTATCAGCGCAGATTTGTGGAGCTGTATAGCCAGAGTAAGTTATTAAATATTGCACTGGAATAGGGCTGGGACTAGTCCAAAGTTACTACCCGGGTACCCACCACCCTATTACCCGACCCCACACTGGTACCCGTTGTAGATATTTAGAGATAGGTACAAACTGTCCGATTTGGAAAAGTTTGACCGTAACCCTGGCAAAATGTATTAAGATACATGTGTAAAATAATCTGGTCATGCATACACTGAAGTTTACTGCATGGAGTTTTATCTTTATTCAAACATATTAAAGTCAGAAGGAATGGGTGCATTGTCAGAAAGAAATGGGATAATTAGTGACTTATAGTGTAGCCATAGAGTTTTAGATCATTTTTGTCATTAAACAATATATAACATGATTAACCACGGGTCCGGGTAGTCCTGCGGGTACCCGGGTCCTACTGAGGAACCACCCGACCCGGGTACCCGAGGTACCCAGCCCAGCCCTTCAATGAAATCTTAATTTTAAATTTTTATATAAAAACATGAACTCTTTGTCTCAAATGACTCCCCTTCCTCTTTTTAATGGGTAAATATTGTGTTTAGGTTAGAGCTTGGGGACGTTAGAATAGGTCTTCAGCAACCCATGCTTGTCGTAAAAGAAGACTATGCTTGTCGTAAGAGGCGACTAAAGGGATCGGGAGGTCAGGCTCGCTGACTTGGTTGATGCCTGTCATCAATCCCGATTGTGTAGATCAGTGCTCATGATGTCAATCAGTGGAATGTCTGGTCCAGATTTGATTATTTCCAGACCTCTGTCATATAGCTTGAATATTGCTGTGTGCAGCAATAAGCAACAAACAAACAAACAAGCTAAATTGTATCCTTCTTATATTACTTAAACTGCTTGTTGCAGTTGCTGCAAAACACAAGGAGACGAAGCAGTTCTACACACTCTACAACACTCTAGATGATACCAAACTCTACCTGGCAAAGGAGGTATGGTGGTGTTTGACGTCTAATAACGGGTGTGAGTGCCCCAGTCATTTTGGTTGTGCAGAGTTGCATCCCTTTGGCGTTCCAGAATCTGATGATCCTGGGTTCCAATCCCTGAGTGGCCCTGACAATGCCTCTTGGTTTCTCAACACCAAACTGTAGACATGGGTTCATCTAAGGTCGTAAACAGCTTGGGCATGTGTTAGTTCAGGCTTTAACTGATATAACTGAAATACTGTTCAAAGCAGAGTTGAACCCAACTCACTCACTCATACAAACCTGTAACAACTCAGACCTGCATTACTTCAGGCTTTCCTCCCACATTAATCTGACAGGTGGTCATCTAAGGTGGTGTTAAACCTAACTCACTCACTCAATAATTTCAATATCTCAAGTCAATATCTGTCTCACCTGTTCAGCGTCTGTAAGCTGGGCACGGTCGTGTGTTCAACGCTAGACCAATCCAAATGGAGAAAAATTTTGTATTGCTATTGTAGCAGGGCGTGGAGTAATCCCACAGATGACATCCTTACCTTGTCAGCCTGCTGACGGGGTTAACCTCTTTAATAATGTGGACAATGTGTCCGACCTCAGATTAGAAGGTCCGTGGTTTGAATCCAATAACGGGACTCAGGTATTTTATGGCTGCTACACTGGCGCCCAACGTGGGGCTGAGCACGTTCATATTAAATTTGAGCAGTACCCTACTATGCGGCCCGCGACGTGCCTTCTGTTGCCGGGGAGTATGTAGCAGGGCATGGAGTTGTCCCACAGATCACAACCTTACCTTGTCAGCCTGCTGATGGGGTTAACCTCTTTGGGCATGATCCGAACTCGGATCAGAAGGTCCGTGGTTCGAATCCCATCACGGGACTCAGAAATTTTATGGACGCTACACTATGAAGTAACAGATGTGTTCTGATTTCAGCTGAACCTGCTGAACTCCATCCATGATAACTTTTCTCAGTAAGTATGGCTATCAGTGTGTGTGAGTCATCTTCCCGAGGGGGCAAGGGAGTTAACTGACTTTAAAAGTCCAGTTTCCACCCTTGCCGAACTAGGCTGGAATTACTGGGCTCGATCGTTGCGCCACCAGTGGCTAATACCAATTATGTCCCTTCTAAGCCTCTTCTATGGACCAATCAGATTCCACCTCTCGTATCACTTGCGGTTGCTTCTCACAAAATGGTGGCGCCCAATCAGGATGATCTGATCGATAACCAAGATTTATATTGTGATAAAACGGGTCTTACATCGTAAAATGCATCAAATCACCTGAACACCTTGATTAAAAACATGAAAGGATTTGGAAAATATCTGCGGACAACGAGTTGGCGGTGCACATGCTTTGCAAATCCTGCAATCGATCGAAATCTGCACGACAGTTTACGAACCAGATTTTGATTTCGGTGAGCGATCTTGATTGGACTATGCATAGACTCGTTAGTCCAGCCAAAATGTAACTCCATAATACCAGCCTAGTTCGGCAAGGGTGGAAACTGAACTTTTATAGTCAGACAACTCTCTTGCCTCGGGGAGATGCCCAAGGCAAGAGAGTTAACTGATTTTAAAAGTCCAGTTTCCACCCTTGTCGAACTAGGCTGGAATTCCTGGGCCTGATCATAGCGCCACCAGTGGCTGTTACAAGTTATGTTCCTTCTTTGCCTCTCCTATGGACCGATCAGATTCAACCTCTCATATCACTTACATTTACTTCAAACAAAATGGCAGTGCCCAGTCAAGACGTTCTGATCAATAATCAAGATCTTTATTGTGATAAAACATGACTTACATTGCGAAGTGCATCAATGTGAATACCTTGATTAAAAACATGAAAAGAATAGAAAATATCTGTTGACAATGAGTTGGCAGTCCACATGCTTTGCAAATCCTGCAATCGACCGAAATCTGCATGACAGTTTACAAATGTGATTTCAATTTCATCGAGTTATTTTGATTGGACTATGCATAGACTCATTAGTCCAGCCAAAATCTAACTCCATAATACCAGCCTAGTTCGGCAAGGGCGGAACAGTCTAATGTTGGCCTCAATTTCACTAACAACATGTCTTTTACTCCAATACGAGGGCCACTTACTCTGATGTATGTGGTGGCAAGTTAAGCAATGTCAGTCGCGGAAATTCCTTGGATGGGTGACCGCGTTTCAGCAGCTTGGCTCCGAAGAGTTTCTAGGCCTTCATTCCTGCCCCACAATGAGACACATGTAACACATGTGGTGTCTCCAAGGGCAAGTGCCTCTGTTCACCCAGCAGTGAATGGGTACCTGGTAGGATGAGATGGCAATTTGATTGTTAACCTTCCAGTGTCTAACAGGCAGCTTTGGTTGAATATTCCCCAGGGAGCTGAGAATGATTGTTGAGTGCACACTGATTTATTGACCGGGGTAATAAATGTCTAAGCAATTAGAGCATGCTTATGCATGGAGTACAGCACCATTTAAATGGATGATGATGATGATGATGATGATGATGATGATGATGATGATGCATGAACTTGCATGAACCACACCAAGTTGTGATCTGGCTGATTGTGCAGGGGCAGGGTAGGGTGGCCCAGTTGTCAAGGCTCTGTGATTTAAACTGTAGCATTGGGTTTGAACCTGGGTTCTGTTCCACAAAGCAATCTTAGTGCTAAAATGATCGTAACTCCCAAACTTAAACCTAAGCTTACGATAGTCAGCACATAGGTCGCTTTGTGGAACAGGAGGCTGATTATCATCCTTGGCCAGCACCTTGTCCTTGCCTATGGACTAATGTGGCCACTGTCTACAACATGAATCCCTATGAGCTTTCCTCCCATGATAGTGGACACTGTGTGATGTAGGTAAAATGCTGCCTAAAGCTGTTTAACCCAGCTCCCTCTTTCACACATTTGCTCACTCCCTCACTCACTCGGTATTGGATGCACATTTCAGAGCCATGGCATCTCAGACCAACAAGGACCAGTTCCTCAAGCAGTTTGAGCAGATTGTGGAAGGAGTAAAGGGCAACAGGGCAAAGGTCAGTTCTAGATTTCTTTTAAAAGTTCAGGATTTAGCAAATTGAAATTTATCTTTTTGGGGCATTCCCATTTCTGTAAAAGATGTGTGAATTAAGTGGGATGCACACAACAGCCATCCTCACCACTCCGGGCTATTTTCTACTGAGGGAAAGTGGAAACCACTGTTTGAATCTGCTGTAGGAAACTGGAAACTATTCTATGAATCTGCTGTAGGAAACTGGAAACTAAATTTATTACTCTGCTTAAAGAAACTGGAAACCTATCTATAAATCTGATGAAGGATTTGGAAACTATTCTATGAATCTGCTGTAGGAAACTCATAACTATGCTGTAGGAAACTGGAAACTTCTATGAATCTGCTGTAGGAAACTGTAAAACAATGTATGATTCCGCTGTTGGAAACTGGGAAAAGAACAATGGGGAAACTGTGGTAAAAGACCACGCATGATGGTCCTGTGATAATGGAAGTATGGCGTGTGATTTAGGAGATAAACATACTGTGTTTTCAATGTTGAGCTTTTGCTCTAAACCGTATGTCACCATGATGACGTCATATCGCTCATTGTGACGCAAAAGATGTGACATCACAGTTGTATAGGAAAGCGCCAAATTCCATGCTCTCTTTTGTCCCCCAAACTTATACTACATTCTCTTTGTTGATTTCTATCGTGTTTCCTGCACAATATGTATTGCCACACTTCCTTTGAATATTGAAGTAACCGTAACTTTGCAATTTGTTACCTATAATTGTAGGTATAATTATCTGAATACGCCTACCGACAATGACTGAAAAATGTACTATTCTATGAATATTAGCTTCCGTGGTGATGCGTCCGTCAACTTAGCTGTTTCAATCAGAGGGGGTTTGTTGTGCTTTAATAGCCTCTGATTGCCAAATCAGAATCAAGTATTATTGCGAATTTTGCGAACAAGACTCAATCGCAAAAATTAAAAACACAAAAATAAGTATAAATAATACATACATACTTTATTCATTGCAACACGTCATCAAATGTTGAAGTCATCAACCAGAACCACAAGTTACTCAATAAGTTAAAAACACAAATGAATGCAGAATGGTCACACAATAGATCACAAATGACAGTGTAAACAAACAGATAATTGGTTGCAATCCCTTACGGTCAACTTTCCGGCCAACTCAGATTAACTAGCTTCTGAGAGAAGCTGTCTATTGTTTAGTAATCGAGGGGTCATCTCAACATGGCAACTCTCAAAAATATCTAGTCGCAGTATTGTCTTTGGTGTGGTATTGGCAGAAATAAAACTGTTTACAGTAATTTCCTAATTCATGGCAGAATGTTGGTTGCTTCAGGTGGAGAAGAAGAAGCAGGAGGAGAAGATGAAGCGGGACCGTCTGAACGACGACTACCTGAACCTTGTGGAGCAGCAGAGGCTGTACTTCAAGACTGTGAAGGACTTCAAGGAGGTAGGCCGTGGGGGGATGCTGGCTGGGGAGGGTCCATCTTCCCGAGGCAAGAGAGTTAACTGACTTTAAAAGTCCAGTTTCCACCCTTGCCGAACTAGGCTGGAATTTCTGGGCTCGATCGTAGCGCCACCAGTAGCTATTACGAGTTATGTCCTCTCTGTGCTTCTCCTACTGACCAATAAGATTCAACCTCTCATTATCACTTGCATTTGCTTCATACAAAACGGTGGTGCCCAGTCAAGATGATCTGATTGATAATCAAGATCTATATTGTGATAAAACGAGTCTTCCTCGCGAAGTGCATCAAATCATGTGAGCACCTTGATTAAAAGCATGAAAAGATTTAGAAAATATCTGTTGACATCGAGTTAGCGGTGAACATGCTTTGCAAATCCTGCAGTCGACCGAAATCTGCATGACACTTTACGAACCGTATTTCGATTTCAGTGCGCGATTTTGATTGGACTATGCATAGACTCGTTAGTCCGGCCAAAATGTAACTCCTTAATACGAGCCTAGTTTGGCAAGGGTGGAAACTGGACTTTTGTAGTCAGTTAACTCACTTGCCTCGGGAAGATTGGTAGGGTCAGGATGTCACTGGACTGTCTGTCCAGATCTGAATATTTGCAGACCGCCATCATATAGCTGGAATATTGCTGAATGCCGTGTTAAGCAACATACATTCAAACAAACAAATTGTTTCTTCCAGAAAATACTGGGGAAAAAATGTTGATTCATGCTTTACACATACCTTAAGATTGATAGACAAGCTGATAGTACTTCATCTTCCGAAGGCAAGCGTGTATCAAGCCTATATCAAAGCCTAGTTTCTACCCTTGCCACACCAAGGCCACTTTTCTTGGCTCGACCCTGGCGCCACCTTGCATAGATCACGAGTTGTGCCACGCTATCCAATCAGATCGCTGTTCTTATCTCGTATAGCATCACAAAGAAGGCGACTACCGTAGGCGACGACTTAGTCGAACAGATAATCAAAAATCATTCACGATTTCATCCCTGACACAAAAACATAGGCGATCTTTTTTCGATGAAAAAGACGTGTCAACAAAGACAGGCAGCGCTGAATCACTTTCATTCGAAGGTGTACCAGTCGTGGATGTTGATGTTGTGAACTGTTCTCTGATTGGACTATCGATATGTGTGATATTCCAATCATATTCAGCACAGGAAAGTGGGCTTGATGTGGCAAGGGTGGAAACAAGACTTTGATAAAAAGTCTAGTAGACGCTCTTGCCTCAGGAAGATGAAAGTACTTAAGAACTGTGTTTCCCAACTTATTCAGATCCCGTGAGAGTAAAAGTCTTGAAGCAGTTACAGAAACAATAATCTGTCTGTTGCAAAAATCCAATACCTCTGTATATAAAATAGTCAGCCCTAAACTTCCATATAAAAGTGTCCTCCTTGTGATTGAGTCTTAACATGTCCATTGTTTTCCAGGAATGTCGCAAGAATGAAACTCTCCTCCGGAAGATGAAAGGATGATGAACCGAAACCTGCTATACATCCTGACTGTGTGCAATGTATTATGTGATGATTAAAGTGATTCCTAACTTATGTAGGCTGGTATCCAATGTTCACAGAAGACCTAAACAGAAGTCCTGATTCTCACAATCTCAATCTTGTTGTGGATATGAATACATTGTAGGGCTGGGACGGGTACCCGGGTCGGGTGGGTACTGAGTAGGACCCGGGTACCCACAGGACTACCCGAACCCGTGGTTAGTCACGTGATATATTGTTTAATGACAAAAAACATCTAGAACTCTATGGTTACCCTACAAGTCACTAATGTTCACATTTTTTTCTGACTATGCACCCATTCTTTCTAACTTTTCATATGTTGAAAAAAGATATAAAATAAGTCAGCTTCAGTGTATGCATGACCAGATCGTTTAATACATGCATCTAAATACGTTTTGCAAGTGCTGTGGTGAAAGAATTCCCAATCAGACATTTTGTATCTCTTGAGACCTACAGTGGGTACCCGGGTAGAGTTGGGTAGGGTAATAGGGGGGTGGGTACCCGGGTCGTAAATTTGGACTCGTCCCAGCCCTAATACATTCCAACACTTATGGGAGGTAAATTAAGTAGACAGTGTTTCGTTTACAGAGTCCAAACAAAATATATTTATGTTCATTATTGGTGTAACCGTGGTAACTGCAGTGAGTGGAGACAGCATTATTGCAATGGCATACAATACAGCTCTCGGTAAACAATCTTATTGATTATTAGCATTAGGCAGAGATCCTCACCAATTTTTACAAGTGTGATCTTAGCGCTAAGGTGACCGTAACTCCCATACCTACTTATGACTGTAGTAGTTTGGTTTGGTTGTTGTTTAACGCCACACTCAGCAATATTCCAGCTATATGACAGCGGTCTGTAAAAAATCGAGTAGAAAATCCAGTGATTGACATCATGAGCATCGATCCACGCAATTGGGATACGATGACATGCAGTGGTAAACGTCTGAGACCTGCATCACTTCGGGCTTTCCTCCCACATTAAGCTGACACGCCCTGATATAACTGGAATACTGTTAAAAGCGGCGTTAAACCCAACTCACTCACTCGCTCACTTATAATAACAAGCAACACACTGCTCACCGTTTGCTGATTACTTTCTGTGGTGCAAAGCCTGGGCGACGCGCATTAATTCCAGGGGTCGCCTCTCATTAATTTGGTGATGTATTAATTTCATGAGTAAGTTTATAATGTTACCAGGGCAGATGATGCCTATGATGAGTTTATCCATAGGTCGGTTTATCCAGTAACCAGGCAACTGCACATGTCCAGATACTGGGTATACTATGCCCAGAATTATTGAAGGGATTCACAATGTGTTTGAGTCCCCAGTGGTCCAGTACAAAGGCACTGCAATTATCTGTGGAGAGTAGCATCCCTTAGGCATGCCAGAATCCGATTACCATGGGTTCGAATCCCAAATTCACCCAGATTGATTTGGGGTTTGTCAGCATCATACCACTGCTTGTGGGTTTCACCGAAGTGGTAAACGTCTGAGACCTGCATCACTTCGGGATTTCCTCCCACATTAAGCTGACACGCTGTGATATAACTGGAATACTGTTAAAAGCAGCGTTAAACCCAACTCACTCACTCCATCTGTACTGGGAGTGAAGATTGTATGAGGAGTTTTGAATTGTGTTGGTGTGTATAAAGGGGAGCAACTCTTGTAGACTTCAGGTTGAGAACACTTCTCGTTTGATGGCCAACTGACTGTTTCTTCAGTGACAGGAAACAAATTATTGGTAAGCACACTTAAATATATATTTTCTGAGCTGGAGTGTAAAGAAAATCTTTACTATTTAGGCTCCTTGATCCTGCATTATTTCAAAAATGTGGACAACTTTCAGAAATAATTATTAATGGGATATATTTCATGTGTAATGATATATTATGTGAAGTCTATAAGTGAGATGATAGAATTATCTTTGAGCTGCAAATGTCATAATACCTCCATGGAATTCAACTATTAGAATTCAGTCATGTGACCTTGTTTATTTGTATAGATTAATCAAAGCAAATAAAAGAAATCCTTAATACATGGTAACTCCTCTTAGTTCTGTACTATCATATTTTGTCCCAGAGAGCCAAGTAGGGACAAAATTGGTCCAGATGATGCACTATCATCTGGCACAGGCAACCAGTACAAGAGCATCTTCAATTAATCTGATTAAAATCAGATCTTTTGCTCCAATATAATTCCTCTCTGCATGAGTGAGTGAGTGAGTTGGGTTTAACGCCGCTTTTAACAGTATTCCAGTTATATCACGGCGTGTCAGCTTAATGTGGGAGGAAAGACCGAAGTGATGCAGGTCTGAGACGTTTACCACTTCGGTGAAACCCACGAGCATGGGTATTGTGCTGACAAACCTAGAAACATAATTGGGGCGAACCCGGATTCGAACCCACAATCATAGGTTTCTGGCGTGCCCAAGGGACGCAACTCTGCACAGCGAATCGCGGCGCCTTAGACGACTGGGCCACCCGTGCCCCCCCTCTCTGCAAGAAAGATCTGATGACACCTTAAAAGGAGGCCAGTTCAGGCAAACATCAACCAGTCAGCATCAAGGCTTCTATATTCTTGGTACGAGTGAGTAAAACATTCAGACCAGTATATCTGATTTCTGTATCTCTAAAAAGTAACTAAAATGACAAGTTCCTAATGTAATTAATAAAGGCCATGGCATTGTGTTGTCATGGATATTTTATGCAGCCTGTCATTTCTGAGCACCATGGCAGCTGCACGCAAGGAAGTACTATTGAAACGAGGTCAGAAACAATTAAGTCCTAATTATTGCAGAAAGCTGACATCTGATTGTCCAGTGTATTATATCTCCATTTATTATGTTTTTTCCTGGACCTATTGGCCACCACAGCTTTGCCTTCGAAGTGAGGTCACTATGGCCATCTCGTGTATCACTTATCTGGGTAATGATTTCTTTCACTCATGAGTGTAATCAGATCAGGGCCCACTTGCACAAAGGGATCTTAGGGCTATGATGATCTTAACTACCATACGTGGGTGTCACTATCTATGGCTTCTCACGTGGATAACATCTGCAAGCGAGCATATCTGAACATCAGGAATATTGGACAGATTCGCCAGTGTATAAATGCAAAAACAGCTGCTTCTCTAGTTCACGCATGTGTTCTATCACATCTAGATTTCTGTAATGGACTACTCATCGGCCTTCCTCATAACCTTTTGACTAAACTTCAAAGAGTTCAAAACTGTGCTGCCAGGCTTGTTACTAAATCCAAAAAGTTTGACCATATCACACCGATTCTACGGAACCTCCCCTGGCTCAAAATCAATGAGAGAATCCAGTATAAAGTGATGCTGATTGTGTTCAATGCGAGACAAAATAAAAAAACAACTTCTATCAGCGAGCTTCTTGAAGAGTACGTGCCTGGGAGATCTCTCAGATCAAGCTGCCAGTCCCTACTCTCTGTGCCTAGTGTGAGAACGGCGACTTTTGGAGGTCGGAGTTTCGCCAAAGTTGCCCCTGAGCTATGGAATAGGCTGCCATTGGATATCAGGAACATTGACAGTCCTACTTTGTTCCGATCAAGACTCAAAACCTATCTTTTCACCAAATCTTTCTTGGAGTATTGAGGCTTTGTGTTTTCCTAGCTGTGTAAGTCTCTTTTTTTGTGTAGACTCAAATGAAGCGCTTTTGAGCAGTTCTTCGAACCGGATACCAGCGCTATATAAATCTGTAGTTGTTATTATTATTATACTTTAACACAGGCTTACAATAGTCGTAGCACTAAGATCGCTTTGTGCGAGTGGGCCCAGGTGCCTATTTTTACCCCTATGCCCTTCAAATACTGTCAAATCTATCATAGCAAAAGTGTCCAGGGGATATGTTCTTTAGAATGGAGGTACAAAAATATGAATAATCGAGAATGGTACTGTACAAAATCAGGTGTCCAGTTTTGGCAGGGTTTTTTACATTAAGATTCCGAAGGTGTAAAAAACATAATATGAAACTAGTGTCATGTTTGTTTGGCCGATCGCTTGGTAAATTAGAAAAATAAAATGATAAAACTAAAAACATCAAACTGTAAGAGATAACGTTTTTGATAATCAGTCAAATGTGGTTTCTCGTCGAGGAATATTGTTGAGTGCAGCCTCAAACAACAAGAAAGTAAGAAACAAACAAACTGACAGAACTATGAACATGTTACTGTTACTAATTTAACATCATGTAGTTTAAGACCCGTGAATATCCTGGTTAGAATAGGTCTTCAGCAACCCATGCTTGTCGTAAAAGGCGACTATGCTTGTCATAAGAGACGACTAACAGGATCGGGTGGTCAGACTCGCTGACTTGGTTGATGCATGACATCAATCCCAATTGCATGGACCGATGCTCAAGATGTCAATCACTGGATTGTATGGTCCAGATTGTATGATTTACAGACCGCCGTCAAAAAGCTGGAATATTGCTGAGTGCGGCGTTAAACCACAAATAAACATCATGCAGTTTAACAGTATTTTTTTATTTTACCACAAAACCCACAGACCCCAAACAACTTTATGTAAAATGTTTTCTGCCATCTGTGAATCGCAGGCAAAATCTTTGATTCATCTGTAAACATGATGTAATGCCATTAGCGCACATCCTGTGCCTGATGTTGCTTAGCCCACCCCAATCTTTGCCGTCCACGTGAAGCTGTTTTAGGTCACACCCAGGATGCTCAGAGCTTTTTTTAACGACTGGAGCAGATTTGAATCTATTGCGATGTGCAATTGGCGTGATGAGACGATCTTACATAGGTGTCGTTTTTTAGGCCTGCCAAGCCCAGGTCTCATTGCAACCCCACCTATTGACGTATTTATCCCAGAGTGGAGAAATAACCCTTTTTTATTTGCCGAACATTCAGGCTATTTGGGATATTGACGTCCCTGCTCTATCGTGACGCCATGGTAGTGTGAATGTAATCAACGATAGCTACATTCAAATAACACCTGTGAAGATCCTGGTGAGAATAGGTCTTCAGCAACCCATGCTTCCCGTAAAAGGC